CCTAAACCAGAAAGAACAAAGAGGACAGTGCGCACAAAGTAACAGTACAGTATTTATGAAAAAAACAAAGATAGGAAGTGGCTGAGGTAACTGTAACTATTTCAGAATCTTGAGAATGTCTAAAATACTGAAGACTCCAATCACAGCATAATGGTAACCACAATAAACTGGTTATGAACTTCATTTAAAGTTGTCTTTGGGAATAATGGAATGGAAGAACGGCTCCGAAGTTAAGGGAGTGTTTGCTGTTCTCACAGAGAACCTAAGTTCTGTGGTGCCTCACAGCCATACATAACTCTAGATCTTGACGTCCAAGGAATCTGATGCCATCTTCTGATCCCTCAGGCACTAGACACTCATATGGTATACCTACAGACATGTAGGTAAAACACTCATACACATAAATCAAAAACAAAATTTGAGTTGTCTTGAAAAATTAATTTCGACTTCCAGAACTTTATTAAGTGCTGTTTTAGAAGTAATTCTAAATCAAAAAGGCTACAACACTTTTTTTTAATGGTGGTGGTGGTGTGTATGCATGCCAATGTCTGTGTGGGAGGTTAAAGGATAAGTCTTGATTCTCTCAGAATCAAGGTCCAGGATCAAACACAGGTGTTCAGGTTTATCGAGAAAGTGCTTTTACCCACTGTGCCAACTCTCTGGTTCTAATTTCTGGTTTTCTGTTCTGTTTTTTTGTTTGTTTGGTTGGTTGGTTAGTTTGGAAGGGGTTGCTTTTTAGCAAAAAGCACATACCAAAACAAATAAACTACCACCCAAGATAATGTCAACAAATGCCATTCCAATAAGGTTCTCTAAGCAGCCCTCTCAAACTTACCTGCAATTTAGACCTTTTGTTATAAAATAGCAACATGCAGCACTCACTTCAGACTGATTAGATGAGTTTCTAGGGACACCTGTGTGTATAAGCTCTGAGTAATTTTACTTGTAGCCTCTACTAAGAACCACTATTACAAGGAAATCTAAACTGTCCATGTCATTACTTTTTCATGTAGATCCATTTTATTAGCCAATTTTCAAACAGCCAAGAAGACCTTTTACTACTAAAAGGGGTATGAATTACGTAGTATATTTAGCCCAACACAAAAGACTAAAATCATGGAAAAAGATTCCACTAATAATGTTTAAAAAGTAAGTCAATTAGCATACCAAATATGGCGAAGACTAGCTATTTCTATTTTCCCAAACCTTAAATTTCACAATCTGTGAAATTTATATATTTTACAATATACTCAAGAACTCAGTAATTCCAAGAAAGCCAAGCATAAACAACTGTGGCTGGAGAGATGGCTCAGAGGTTAAGAGCATTGCCTGCTCTTCCAAAGGTCCTGAGTTCAATTCCCAGCAACCACATGGTGGCTCACAATCATCTGTAATGGGGTCTGGTGCCCTCTTCTGGCCTGCAGGCATACACACAGACAGAATACTGTATACATAATAAATAAATATTAAAAAAAAAAAAAGAATTAACATGGAGCCAAGCAACGACAGTACAAGCACTTGGGAGGCAGAAGCAGATGATCTTGGAGTTCAAGGCCAGCCTGATCTACAGGGTAAGTTCCCGGACAGCTACATCGAGAACTAGTCTGGAACACATACACACACACAAACAATTAACATAGAGGGAGGATGAGAGGTTTCTGGAGGTAAAGGTGCTTGCAGTCATCCCTGACAATCTTCATTCAATCCTTAGATACATAGGGTAGGAGAAAACTGACTCCCAGAAGTTTTCCTCTGCCTACAAACATACACACAAAATAAATGAAAGTGCAATTTAAAAAACACGTACACACATTACTAAAAGTCAAAGAAATTAATATTTCAAAAGGAAAACAAGATTGTTTTCTAATGATCAGGCAAATCTATAAAAGCATAACACCACAAAACCATACAACAACAAATGAGCAACTTATTTTGTAACGAACATGTTTGAAAATTTTCTTTTTCAGGGGTTTTGGATGAGCCTGTAATTCAAGAGTTTTGATATTCAAGACCTTGCAACTGGACTGGAGGGAGGGGTCATAGTAATGAAAGCATCATTTTACTAACACTGTAGTTCTAAAGAAACAATATAAGTAACAGTAATCCAGGAAAAAGCAAGTGACAACCAACAAGTCTCTTAATGATTAGAATAGCACTGAAGCATCCTTCTTCATTCCCATAATGAATTTGGGGCAAGATCAAACAAATACATCAACAGGTGTATATTTACTAAGGCAAACCGGAAGCAGAGCGCCAGGTGTGAAGAAACAAAGTTACAACAGAGTTTATGTATCTTTTTAATCTAACAATAAGGAAACAAAGGGTTTTGAAGGAACAGTGTTCTAATGCTGTGTCTGCCCTACAGGAAACTTACCTAACCTCCAGGTTCTCCAGAAAACTGAGGGCAACACTAACAGTTCTACCTCACTGCATTTTTTTGGTTAGGTTTAAGACAGGGTCCTTCACTGTGTAACCTTTAACTGTCAGGAGTTCTGCCTGCCTGTGCTTCCCACATATTTGAGATTAAAGGCATCCACCACCATATCAAGTTCCTCACTATACTTGAAAGATTTTTAAAACTAATACTGGAGGGTCAAGATTTATCTGTCAAAATTAATTCCTTTCATCGATACTACTAGCATTCTCCAAAGGCCCTCCCCTAAGGAAAGGGATACCAGTACATATTGTATGATATGTTATCAAACAAATTTTGTAGCCCAAAATTATCATTTTTTTTTAAAAAATCACTTTCAATTTTCTTTCTTTTTTATTTTTTTGGTTTTTTGGGTTTTGGAGACAGGGCTTCTCTGTAGCTTTGGTGCCTTTTCTGGAACTAGCTGGCCTTGACACTTTCAATTTTCAAAAACACATGAAAGGTCTTAATTCCACAGAGAGGAGTTTCTGAAATCAGAGCAGCTCCTGATAATATTCAACCATTCTACCTACTATGTCAACGCCTTTGTCTTCTACACAACCAATCACAGACAAGTAGGTGGTAAGTGAACATAAGATACAATACTGGAAAGCATACCTCCTCTTTGTTTTGTTTCTTTTTTCTTTTTCTTTTTTTTTTTTTTTAGTTACACAGTATGGGCGGGTACCTATAGCCCTCCTATGGAGGTCAGAGGACTAGTCTCAAGAGTCAGTTTTTCCCTTCCTCCCTTTGTCCCAGGTCCAGAATCAAGTTGTCAGACTTTGGGACAAGGAAGGGCCTTTACCAGCTTGCAAGGACTCATGTTGCCAGGCTGGCTCTGAAATCACGCTGTAGCAGGTACCAGTAGCCTTGAACTCTGAATCACCTTGCCTCCACCTCTCAAGGCCTGGGACAGTATTTGTGAGCCACCACACTGGTGGGCATAGATCCCTTTAACTTGAAATACTCAAGGAATGGCTTGGGCGTGCAAGTCAAGAAAAAACGTTTCTGTATTAGGACACCAAAAATATGTATGTACACCACCATCCAAAACGCCGTACTATCTCAATGCACTTAGAAACACCGAACACAAGAGTCCGAAATGCAATTTCATAAACCAGCCCTGAATGAGAAACCAGGGTAACTTTGGTTATACTGTTGCATGTAATGGATACTCAAACTTACTGTCAAAGACACAACAGAGATATAATCCTTGCTTACCCTTTATCCGAAATTTACTTTAGTTCCATTGCATAACTAAATAATTTTATAGGGCACTGGGTTCCCTCATCAAAGTGTAACAAGTTCTGGGCTTCACTGGTAACCAGGTACAGTACACAACCTAGATCACCACACCCAACCTAAAAGCAACTTAGCAGACACAGAAAGCTTGCCCTCAGTGCTGCTGTTATACCCAAAACCTACCAATTAGGGCTACCACCACCAGAAAAAAAACCATTAGGAGTTGGCAGTTGCTGCCGTCAGCTTTTTTTTTTTTTTTTTTTTTTTTTTTTTTTTTTTTTTTTTTTTTGGTTTTTCGAGACAGGGTTTCTCTGTGGTTTTGGAGCCTGTCCTGGAACTAGCTCTTGTAGACCAGGCTGGTCTCGAACTCACAGAGATCCGCCTGCCTCTGCCTCCCGAGTGCTGGGATTAAAGGCGTGCGCCACCACCGCCCGGCTGCTGCCGTCAGCTTTAAGAATATCCCGTGCCATATGTCTTAGTAAACACAGAATCCAACCTCACTTTCAGAATACACCTAACATTCCGAGAAGTGACTTTAGCTTGCGTCCTGACACGGATGTTAAATGTGAAAAGGCTCAAGCACTAAAAGCAGATGGCTAGCGACCCCACAACTACCTCCTCCGATCGATCAATGAACCGAGTTTAAGCCTTCCGACTTGCACTTTCCAGTGGCCAACAGGAAACTCCACAGAGAAAAGGAGAGCAAACGGGGAGAAATCTATTTGGGCTTTGATAAAAGGAATAACGGCAGCGCTTCCAACCCCCACGACGTGAGTGAACAAATGAAAAAAGCAAACGGGAGGAAGTGACAGGGGTGGGCGGCTGGTGAGCTCACTTGGAAGTCCCAAACATGCCACCCAGCTCAGGGGTGCCCCCAAACCTCTGTCACAGCAGCTGCAGCCGCGACACCGGGATGAGAGGCAAGAAGGGTGGCGGGAGCGGAGGTCGAGGAGTAGTGCCCGCACTCCGCGTTTCCTCGTCTGCCAACTCTTCTCCCGCCCTCCCCCCCCCCCATCCCTATCCTCCCCAGCCCGAGCCGCTAGCTCCGGAAAGAACACCCAGCACGGGCAGAGGCGGGGAAGACAAAGAGGCAGAAGGCAAGGGACTTCCAGAACCACGCGGAGCGGGTCCGAGCCAAACTCCCGAGGACCACGCAGGAGGGCAGGCGGGCGAGCGGCCCCGGAAATCGCCAGCGAGCTCGGGCCCCGCGCACGGCGGGGCCTCAAGCCGGGCCGCGCGGGCGGCGTCACCGGGACACCGGGCAGCGCCTGCGGGCGGGACGGCGCGGCCAGGAGAGGAGCGGCCGCCCGGAGAGCACCCGAGCAGGACCGCCGATGGGACTCACCCGCATTCTGGTCTCGCGGCCAGAGGTAGTAGGTGGCGGGGATCACGATGAGCCCCACGAAGGAGGTGAGGAAGTAGAAGAAGGTGTTCCCGCTGTCATCGTACTGGAACTGCTGGCCCGCCATGGCTCCGCCTCCTCCGCCGCGCTCCCCTCACCGCCGCCGCCGCCACCACGACCCCGCGCTGCTCTCCGGCTCCCGGCGCCCCGGCCCCGTGTGGCGTAGCTCGGACGCCACCGCCGTCGCCGCCGCCTCTCCTCCCCGCCCCCACGCCGCTCTCACGGACACGCCGCTGCCGCCGCCGCGGCCGTCGCCAACTCTCGCGAGAGGAGCTAGTTCCCGCCCCGCGTGGCTGGTCCCTCCCCGGCCCGTTCCTCCACTAGCTCGCTGAGGGAGACGTGGCGCGCGCAGCAGAGAAACTCTGTCGGACCCCGCCCGTAGCCCCGCCTCCAAACCATAGGGCCCCACCCCTCGCCCCCATAGGCCCGCCCCGAGGCCCGCCGCCTGCTTCCCAGTACCCTTTCCCAGCACCCTTCGCCAGATTCCCTGAGCCTGCCTGCGGGCTTCGGACGAAGGCTTCCTAGGCGTGCTGTGGGCGCGAGCGATCGTCCTGGGTGCGACTGGAACCCCAGCTGTTACCAGCAGCGCGAGATTGTCCGGCCTCTTACTCTCCTACCCCTCTCGCTTTTCTCTGCTTCTGAGCCTCTCCTCCAAGTCAACCTTGTGGAAGCAAGTGCCGTAAAGAATAGGGAAAGGGGATTGATTGTAATTTTGTTTGCAAAGTAATGGTTGCTACTTGAAAACTGCGGGCTGCGCTGCACCCATTTTGCAGATAAAGATTGCCTAACCTGCATAGGTAGTTTCCTGAGTGTTCTGAAGCTTAGGTATTTGGAGCTGCCAGTTCACGAATGCTTAGTGTGACCCAAGCAGTCTTTTGTTCAATTGTCAATATATATCAAGTGGTTCTCAACCTTCCTAATGCTGCAACCCGTTTAATGCAGCTCCGCATAGTGTGGTGACCCCCCCAACCATAACATTATTTTTGTTGCTACCTCATAATTGTAATTTTGCTATTGCTATGAATCGTAAAGTAAATATCTGCTATGTAGGAGATCTGATAGGAGATTCCTGTGAAAGCTGAGAAAGCTAAGGCTCAAAACGCTATCCAAAGGTCATGCTCAATGAGAGAAGGTTTGGGGATCCAAGCCCGATTCGCTCTGACGCCCCATAACAGGTGGTGCCTTTGACCACCTTACCGCATTCCCTAACTCAAAGAGCCTGGCACTCCCTTGCAGCCTGTGAGCAAACCCGAGTCACACTCCGCTCTTGACCACAGGATCCCGGAACTCAACTGAGCTGCCGGACGCTACTCTAATCTTGCAAGGATCTCACCGAAGTCCCGTGGTGGCCTGAGCTGGGCGGGTCCCAGCGTCTGCCCTGCCCTCTGTGGACCAAGAGGACTCCGCATTTTTCACAGAGCCGCTGCGAATATTAAAGGATAATTGTGTAATGCCTTTCAAAAGAGAAAAGGACTGTGCCAGTACAAACATTCTGCCGTATGTGAAGGCTCGTTTTAAAACTCCATACTATTAACTAGATGGCTTTTCAATGTGCCTTCCATTGTTTGGGGGGGAAATCTGGTTCCACAATCTCTTTTATTTAATGTCTCAAAACCAGCTATGAGTTATGAGCTATATGACTTATGCTTTCCCTTATAATAGGTTATGTTCACAAGTATTTTGTCCTCCCTTTCAAATCCCACTTTGGCAGGAAATTTCTCTGCATTTTCTCCCTTGGGGCTTTTTTTTTTCTGTATGAAGTTTCCAAGGACTTTATTCTAGGAGGGAAACTTAGAAGAAGAAAAGAAGTTTGGGCTATGAAGTCAGAACGTAATTGTGACCATCCTGGGGTAGGATAGAGAGGACATTTGGAGGATGCAAAGGGGGGAAGAACCCCTCGTCCCAGACGTTAACGCCAGCCCTTAGGCAGCCGAAACAGGCAGATCTCTGTGAGTTTTGAAGCCATCCCGGACTCATGGTAAGTTCCAGGACAGCCAGGGCTACACAATGAAACTATCAAAAAGGAAAAGAAAAAAAAAATCTGTCACCAGGTGAGAAGCAAGATAAGATGCCGAACTAGAGTTAATATTCCTTTCACACATACATGTTTTATGTTAAAGTATTAAGGCCCGAGTATATACGACGTTAGGCAGGCTCTCATTCCTTTTCCCAGACATCGCCAGATAATCTCAAGCAAAACTGCTTAGAGTAAAGATATCCAACATCCCTGTAGGCAAACTTTTTTTTTATGGATTGTAATACCACCAAGTGCCCCCAGGAACCATCCAGCAATAAAATACTAACTTCAAACCCCACCAAAATTTCATATACAACTATTGTCTGAAGCTGTCTGCTGTGGTAGTCTCTGAGCAACCCACGCCCGTGCTCTCAGCTATCCTGCAGTTCCCAGCCCTGTCTCCTGACCCTCACAGTGAAGTCTATGGTACAAGAGCTTTAGCTTTCTTCATACACTGTTAAGTCCTGGAATTCTCTTGAATGCCAAGGCCATGAATACTGGGTCAGTCTGAGTCAAGGTCCCTAAAACCCTAGGGGAACTTCTGAGGTTGCTAGGGGCCAGAGCTTGGCGATGGGGAACTATATCTCCTTTATTTGCATCCCCAAATGCTGACAACACAACGTTGACAGCCCCAGGAACAATTCGCCTTGCTAAAAAAATGCACCACTCACGAACTTGGCTCAGCTGAAGTCTATAGAATTTCGCTTCCTTAGGTTGACTCTCCTTTTAAGTCCTTACAGGTTTTCAAAATGTTGGACTGGATTTTTTTTATGACTCAATTATGTTTAACTCTGCATTTATGCAAAGATTAATACATCAGTTTTATGACCTTATGACAAAATAAATTATTGATCATAAATAACTCCTGCCAATCTTGATAGCACACACCTTTAATCCCAGCACTCTGGAGGCAGGGGCGGGCAGATTTTTGTGAGCTTCAAGCCAGCCTGGTTCATATAGCAACTTTCAGTATAGCCAGAGCTACATAGAACAACCCTGTCTCAATAATAATTATTAATAATAACCCTCCTCTTGGGACTGTTTTTCTGGAAATCAGCCTCTTCAATTGTGGCTTTGAGCTCATTTATAACAGTGGATTCAACAATTTAAGCATGAGATATCAATTTGAGCAAATTGTATCAATTTACTAAATCTCTAATCAATAAAAATGTGAAATTTGTCAAACTAAAGCCTATAAAAATTTAATTTTTTTTCTTATGCTAGAGAGGATGTGGGGTAAAGGGAACACTCCTCCATTGCTGGTGGGAGTGCAAATTGGAACAACCCCTTTGGATATCAGTATGGCTTTTCTCAGAAAATTAGAAAACCACCTTCCTCAAGACCCAGCAATACCACTTTTGGGTATATATCCAAAGGATGCTCAATCATGCCACAAGGACATGTGCTCAATTATGTAGCAGCATTGCTTGTCATAGCCAGAACCTGGAAACAACCTAAATGCCCCTTGACCCAAGAATGGATAAGGAAAATGTGGTACGTTTACACAATGGAGTACTACACAGCAGAAAAAAATAATGGCATCTTGAAATTTGCAGGCAAATGGATAGATCTAGAAAACATCATATTGAGTAGGGTAACCCAGACCCAGAAAGACAAATATCATATGTACTCCCTCATAAGTGTCTTTTAGACATAAAGCAAAGAACACTAGCCTACAATTCACAACCCCTGAGAACTTAGACAACAATGAGGACCCTAAAAAAGACATACGTGGATCTAATCTACATGGGAAGTAGAAAAAGACAAGATCTCCTGAGTAAAATTGGAAGCATGGGGACCATGGGAGAGCACAGAAGGGGAGCGAAAAGGCAGGGAGGAGAGCAGAGAAAAATGTATAACTCAATAAAATTAATTTTAAAAAACCTCAGTTTTTTGTAACAAGGTCTCAATGTAACCCAAGCTTGCTTCGACTCAAAATGGAGACAAGAATAACTTTGAAGCCAGATGTTGAGGCATGCACCTTTAATTCTGCCCAGCGCTCCAGAGGTAGAGACAAGCAGATCTCTGTGAGTTCCAGGGTAGCCTGGTCGACATACCAAGTTCCAGGACAGTCAGGGCTACATTCAAAACAAGAACTTGACCCTGCTGCTCCTTCCTCTGCCTCCTAAGAGCTGAGTTGCGTGCATGTGCCACTACACCAGGCCTTACTCCTGATGACACTAACTTAGAGAACTATTTCTTTCAAGAGATCATTTTGGTGAAACTTTTAATAATAGTTAATGAATATGGAAGAAACTGAGTCTCAAACACCCCTTGTCCTTGATTTCAACATGTTAAAATGTATTTTAATATCTTTCTGAGTGTCTAAAAGAGAATATTTTAATTTCATTTTAATTTCTTGATAGTTTATTTTCTCTCGAGTACAGAAAGCTTATTTTTAGGCTCCTTTTAATAATTCGCTCTTTCCTTAGAATGAATCTTGGGCAAATCATTCTTGAGATCCTGGCATTGACTTTCATTTATGCATACCAAAATACCTGTGTGGCTTTAACAGACATTATGCAGTCGTCCATAGAATGGAGTTAACTACAGAGACCAGAAGGAACCAAATTATTAAACAGGTACATGAAATTCATTCTAACCTTTCTCTTTCGCTACAGCTCGATATAAAAGTCCCCTTCATGGGTGATCTGTTCCAAGCCTTCCAGCTGGTGCCTGAGACCACAAATAATACAAACACTAGAGACGCTGTGGTTTTCTTCTGCACTTGCACAAATGCATTGCCTTTTCTTTCTCAGCTGAACACTATGCATTGTACATGCTGGCTAGGAATTTTGAAGTTGGAGATAGAAAAGCAAACCTAGAGCAATTTTCTTTTTCTTCCTTCAAGACTATGCAGATAGGGCTGGAGAGATAGCTCAGTGGGTAAAGCCACGGACTCTTCTCCCAGAGAACCTGAGTTTGATTCCCAGTACCCATGCTGGGCAACTTACAACCGCTTTAACTTCAGCTTCAGGGGAACCAACAACGTCTTTGATTTGTGCACAAGCCCCCCCCCCACACACACACACTCACACTCATATGCATAATTTTAAAAATAACACAATTAAATTTTAAAAACCAGATAGAGGACTTGTTCTCGCTAATCTTTTTATATATTAATCTTTTTTATAGTAAGTCAATACCATTTGCAGTTTAACTTAAGGGAAGCCCTCTATAGCTTCTT